TGCATATACTAGTCTTCTACACCCTTTTTCTGCAGCCAATGAAAGAACTTGACTTGAAGAGCGCATTGTGGAGATTTTTCTCAAGAACATATTTCTAGGGTGAGGACGTACCTCGGCTACTTGGAGATTTTAGATCTGAAATCTCTTTACACTGAGAAATTTACTGAAATTTGATATGCGTTAAAAAAGCAAGAAAAGCACTTTCTAATGTTGCTAACAGTACCGCATTAGAGATGAAGTTCTGTTAGAACAATTGCTTCAAACTTGAGGCAAAAAAAATCGGACAGAACTTATGCAGCAGCCTAATAATTTTCAGTGAGGTAAGTGAGCATTTGTGATTGCCTAAAAGCCTTTCATTTCTTTGCAAAACCGTCTAGAACTTATCGCAGAATGTTTTGATTGCTTTAGCACTAAATCAAAATTGTGTTCCTCTTCAAACTTTCCGCCATGCGAATTTAGCCAAGAGAGACTATAAATGATGGCTTGCTGTATCTTGCTGCTGCTTGTTTCGCCACTTGGATAATGAAATCCTAGCGTTACCTCTGGGTAGGTCTAATCTTTTGAGTGATAACAGGATGACGTTATTATTATAGCAGTACTCATCTCTGGAATTGTTTAGTTGAAAAAGAGGGTCATTATTGACTAAAATACAGATTGAACATATCTCGCTATGTAGTGCCACACGATGCCTTGGTAAAACTTTTTGACATGTAGATGACATGATAGTATTTCAAATTTTATGACACATGGCAGAAGATTGACATTCCTTCTTGTTAATTTGGGACCAGATATGGTATATGGTCAAAAGCAATATCCATAAAGGTCCACATAATGGAAAATTACTGGACTGGAGTTCAAATTGCATAACTTATTATGAATTTATTCGACCATATCCTGAACATAGAGCCATGTACTCTAGCAAACTTCACTTTGAGCGATATCTCGGATGTCAAGCTTTCGGAATGATAGTGAAAGAAGCAAGTTACCCAGAAATAATTCAAGAATATTCCAGCGACACAGAATTGCATTTATATCTTAAACATACTAAAAACAGTATCTTTTTGGAAATATCCTTGAGAATGGCAGCAGCTTTTCTCAAATCTCCTCTTTTGTGGCTATGGCTAAGTCATAAGAATCTCCGCATAATTTTGATATTCTATAAAAACGAGAAACTGCGCTTAAACCTCGCGCAAAGAGTTCCGCTCGAAAATGCTGGTTTATTGCGGTAAAAAATGTTTTTAACATCGCCGACGTTGTCAGTGCTTTTAGTCGTTTCATGACGCACATGATGATATATGATGTTGCAGAATTTCGTTAAGAATCCGCAAAGATCTCCAAACAAAGTCAAGCCCTCTCTCGGTACTGTTGTTCTCCTCTGTTCGCCTGCGTCTCCACTCGCCGCGCGCTGCCTCGTTGCCCACTCAGCTACGCGCAACGGGGCATTTGGCTTTGATAGACATTCTCGTGTTTCAAATTGAATCCGTTCAAAATATATACCATCCTGTAGCTCTGGGTTTTCAAGATGCGCTGATAACGTAGCCGTAATTTTTTGATATAAATGAGAAATCTAGCAAAAAACCAATTTTCGAATACCTTCCATTTTCGTACAAATTACCTCATTCATGCAGTCTTTTGTGGACTCGATGAATCTTACTTTTGTCTATGATGCAGACCATCCGTGCTAACTTTCTTTTTTGTAGCGAACTATTTCTAAAGCTGCAGAAAGCGCGTTTTCTTTATGGCTCTTTCCTGGAGTGCGTACGCAAGCTCTTCAAGCTCAAGGTTTCTTCGCAGGATGATGAGCACGACAATGCTGACAACGTTGCGAAAACGGAAACCACAAGGCGAGCAAAAATTCCAAGGAGGCATCAAAAATTAGATTGGCTATAAAGTGCATTTTTCCTTGAAAAAAGGAAACTTTTCGTTTTCCAAATAATTTTTGCTTGTCTTTTTCTTGGCGATCGTCACTACCGTTCGTCATTGCTTTTGAGACAATTATCAAGAAGAAAGCTTTTTCCTAGTTTGAACCCCAGCTGTGGACCGGCAAATCGGAAGCGAAAAACTGCGTCTTAAAAGACAGTTAAGTGAGAAATTTCAAGCTCATTGTGACTTCTCACCCGGTTTTCAACAATTTTTTCTGTTTCTGCTGTTTGGCTTACGTTTTTTTCCTAGCTTCCTGTAAGCAATGTTCACCTTTTATGAAGGACAGAGATTCAGATAAGCTTCACTTCTAAAGTCCTATCTCTAGACTGACGAAGGTATGTGTATTTATATATGTCACTTGGCTGTCATCACTGTGTTTTCGTAAGCAAGCACACTTCTTTCCTTGCATAAATCACTCCAGGTCAAATTAAAGTCGAAACAACCGATAAATGCGTTCGTATTCAATTGCTTTCCTTAATATTGGTTGGCTAAAAGATAATTTCGTTTTGGCATGACAACCTTCATAAAAACTTTCCTAGTTGCTCTTTATTTATGCTATTTTGCGCGTAAGTAGCTATCAAAGCTTCCTCTATCAAATATCAACTATTCAAGATTCTAAACTGTCAGTAAGGTACAGTTATGCCCCGACGAGGCTAAGAATTCAAGAGCTCAATTCTGCGAATTTAGCAGCTTCGTTTTCATGCTCTAATGGATATAAAGAACAGCAATTTGGTATTTGGGTACAAACAAGTTCTCGCTACTTGACGACTACCAACTAAAATTGTGATGTGCCGTATCAAAATTTTTTGATTAAAATAACCAAATTTTTCTCATATTTGTGCACCGAAAAAACTGAAGTTTCTCACTTCCTTGCGGAATTCTTTCATAGCAAATTATAATTTACTCAATAGATTCTGTGTACCAATTCTTACTGAAGTGCTCTTTCCAACGGTACCTACTGGATACACAATTGCCCGCAGCATCTGAAGGAGCCGCAAAACCGACCGAAATTATTTATTAGCCAACCCATAGAATGCTCACTTATCGCCTTTGCTAGCTCCCAGTACCGTAGCTCACAGTTTGTAAGAAGCCATGAAATCGATGAAGACAGGATACTCTGGGAAACGAATTTTGCCTAATCAGCAGGATCACTTGACACCCCGTCCATTCTTAGCTCCGCAATCCAAAGTATGAAAAGTCGAAAAAGGTGCGCCTTGCACCCGCGAAATTAGGGGACTTTCATGCATCGTTCGAAAGCGTTGCTCGCACGCAAAAATCTGCAACCTAACACTTTCCTATAACTTTTATTGAATCAGCTCTGGCTAATGTCATCATCAAGATTCTTGTTCCTACTGCTATTACAATTATCTGTAGTGTTGATTGGCATTTTTAGAGAGGTACGTCGCGAAAGGGCGCGTTGTGGGGTTTTGGGCACTTTTGGGTGTTTTGAGCGCTTTGAGCTAAGTGTGGCAGGTCTTTAAGATTTCATGGGTCTACTTCCATAGATTAGCGCGAGATTATATTTGCCAATTTTCAACCATCAGTCCTTTCTTAGTTTACATCAGAGAAAAAAATCACCGTATGCCAGTGGCGGTCGCAGGATTTCGGACCGGGGGAGGGCAAAAAATTTTTCAAATGAAGGTGCGTGGCGTTAGCCAGACACTCCGAAAAAACTTTTGGAGTACCTTTCAAAATTTTTGCGGGTCCATAATCCCCAAAATCTTGAAAAAGGCGTCAGCCACGCTCCCGAAAAAAATTTTTTTACAGAGCTAAATTGAATTTTTAAAAAATTTAGATAATTATTTTAATTATTTACAAGAATAAAAAAGTCACTTGCACATTCTTATAGCCCATGTAAGTAAATTTCAAAAATTTCGCGACCCATTTTCGGGGGAGGGGGGTGCCCCCCATCGGTCCGCCACTGCCGTATTGCGCATATAGCAAATGTTTTTGTGCGTTTATTACACGCTAACCATGGGAAGTTTGTAGGATTTCTTGGACTGGAATACAATTTTTGAGACAGTCAATTTTGTCAGATTTTAATCAAAACTCATGCGGCGCCATTCCGCAAGAGTAATGAAGACCTTAAAGTTGTTTTGGAGCCAAGTTCAAACAACCTTCGTTGTGTGCGCAGGTGCGGTACCTGCTGGAAGCACCAATCTTTCCCTGCAAAATGGATATCGGTCTAGGGCATCAGTTGCTTCTTCAGAATGCTATCCAACTACGTAGCAGCGTCCATTTTGATGCCCTGAGGCGCTAAGATTAGTGGCATCTTGCCGCCGGAAGTGATCGCCACCCAAACCAACAGAAAAACCGGATGAGGCTCTCCTTTGGCGAAGCAACCCCTGCTGATGGCTTCCCAGAGCGATTAGGATATGACTCTGGTGTTTTGGAAATTGAAAACCTGTTTTACGGTAAAAATTTTATCGTCAGAGAAGGGTACCGTTTTGTGACGTGCCTTGAAGAGAAGTTCAAGCAATCGAAGGCATCTGCGCAGTCAGTTCAGCTTCGTGTCCTCCCAAAAAGCATGAGATTTTAGCATCCTGGAAAAGTTCATCGCAAGGCCTTTTTTTACGACGTCGGAGATTGTCCTGCCAGAGATGGACAGCTCTGAAGCCAGTTCAATTAAGCTTCGCCGAGGATTGCGACGAAGGCGTTGGCGAAGGATTTTTAGAATTTCGTTACTGTCCGCAGTAGCCAGTTTACCACTCATACAACAGTCCTGGGTGTTGTTCATATCCTGGAAACGACGCAAAGTGGAAAAGAACCTGATCTGTAAAATTTGGGGGGCCCGCGCAATTTGCTGGTCGGCCATCTTCTTCTCGTGCATCTTCTCCATCAACGCTCGCTCCATTCCAGAAGGCAAATCTCCAATAGGAAAAAAGCTAATAGTCCACTTCTTTGAGGGCTTGTACTCAAGAGTATAAGAAGTAACTACATATAATTAGCATACAAAAATTTGTGGAAAACCGAACATACAAGAACATCAAAAATTGTTCAAGGACTTCCCCCAACCCTGTAAGATAAGCTTATTACTTTTGCATCATTCAAGATTTATACATCACATTTTCAAAATTCTTGTCTATATTAGCGATTCCGGAAAACTCGTTTTTCAAAAAAGTACTTTGAATACTCATTTTTGCGAACAAGATTTTTTTGCAGCATAGCTCAGAAAACGAAAATGCATGCTTGTACCAAAGAGTTCCCATCAAGTTAGATTACTAAGAACATAATCCATCTTTGCAAGTGCTTAAACAACCGTCACATGGATTGCCAATTTCGTAAAGTGGTACTGTCTTCGTTCCATAAATCCTAAACATATGATATGTGTCAGTGAAGCATCATACGATAATTAGACTTACGTTTTCTTATAGAAATAATGACAGGAAATTACCGTAAAAGTATGACAGGGGTATATTGCGCATCCTAGGTCTTCATTTCCTCCGATAGCCATCTAAATGCCAATCCTTAGTACACATTCCCATACTTACAATTTCTCACGTTGGCATAATTTGGATACGCGTCGCTCCAAAAATTAGTACGTACAAAAGCGCGTTGTCGTAATTGGTCCCAAAACATTCGACAAGCCTGGAAAGAAGTATCTTATCTAGGCTTTGGAAACAGAAAATTGCTTAAACCTTCTTCGCTGCTCTCATTTTGTCCAAATTAGTGAGTTTTCCAGTTATCTTCGTTGAGTAGAAAAGACTCTCCTTTGGTTGTTCAGCCATGCCGTAGCTGCATTTTTTCGCACTATCCATCGCCATTTTCTCCAATTCACAGTTCCATTTCTGATTGTAAAATCACAAGGTTTCTGATTTATCAGATGTATTGCACAAACTACCAATCTATACATCCTGCGGGCCGTGGGTGCTTTATTACCCGCAGCGGTTTTTTCCAGTCCACGAGCAATCCTCGATCTGTAGCATAGTTTCAATGGCAAAGAATTGTCCATTTGAGTTTTACCTATACAAGTTATGAACATTAAGGAAGGTCTGTCTTATAGAGTCTGTCATCCCAGGGCTGTTAGAACACATGCTGTTACTGTTGTCATCTGCAAAGGTATTTTTTACTTAACCAGGTAGAATTTACTGGAGTAGCTTGCATTGCCGTTCGTTGTTACGAAAGCAGATGATGTATACATCTAGGCTTGTCCATCTCACGGTGACAGCTTTAAGATAACAACTGCTTACAAAAAAGATCTTTTTTCAAATCTTCTGGAAATCGTGGGTCAAGAATATTTACTGCAATAGCCACTGTATTAACAATAAGTCGTTAGAACTCTGACGAAGGCGATCTCGCGAAACTTTCTTTGCAGATAAAGAGTGATTACAATTTTGTTCTAATCTCAATCAGCTGTTGCTACGAATAGCCAAAATGTTTGATAAAATTTGAATAAGTACCGAATGAATGCGATCACAGAGGGTATGCCCAAACTCCGCTGCGAAAGATGACTTTTAGAGCAGAAAAATTGCTTTAAAGGAAAAAATTGGCGCTTTTGAAGCCGTATTTGTGATGTGGGTTTTCTCAGTTCCGAATTACCCCTCTGACCATTCAAAATTATCGATTTCGATTTTTTTATTATGAAAGCTGAGCCGTTGACAACGTTGGGTATGAAGTAGTATACTTACATAGTTAAAATCACAATTAAGGTTTTTACTTTTCGGATCTATTTCTTGATTTTGGAATCAAATCGCAGTTGAACGATACAGACACTGCTTCAGTCCCGACACTGCTCGTTATTACTAAGAAAACTGCAGCGTTCGCCACTCGAAGACTACCGACAAAGTTTGACGTTCGCGTCGTATCACCGTCTTGTTTCAAGGTGGACAAATTTATTTTGGGTTTAAAAAACACCACTCAACTTAGCTCGACGAAGTTCAACTCTTTATGCACAAACCGTGAACCGGCACTTTGGTCTTTTCCCGGCACTATGCCATCAGCATCACAAGAATGTACGTACTTTTAAACCCTGCTCAACCATAGTGAGACCCAAAGCAGATTTTGAAAGAGGTTCGTGCAAAGTGACTATCCTACTCCTAATAACCCTAAAATGTGGCTTGGTAAGGTTGGGTTCCTACTGCTCCATATGTTCCGGAACAGTTCCAGCACAACGCACAAATCAAGAGCAGTGCTGAAACTGTTCCTAAACTTACGGATCAGTATAAACCCAGTCTAACGAATCAATGGAAATGTTCCCATCAGCACACCAAATAATTCACCTAGCAAAGAAATGATTAGAATTTGAAACAGCCAAACCAAACAGTTTGCATACCCTTGGATGCAGCATAGAACGCTGAAATGCTCTTCATATCTGCTGCATGCCTTTGTGGACGATGTTACAGGGTATTATATTAGGACATTTACAAAAGCTTTGACAACACAAAGTCATGTTTGGCATAATTTTGTTCAAAACTTGCAGTTTAGTTGGTTTATATAGCATAACCAAAAAATATGTCAAAGAGGCAATGATGTGCCTAATAATGCAAATTCCACGTAGAGGCTGCCGCATGACGAAGGCGCAATATCTATTGGCGCGAGCGCGGTTATGTTAGCCTCAGAGCGCATGACGCGCCGGATCTACAACAGTGAGGATAAGCGCGCGCAGCGTTCGCGCCCACTCAACTAGTAATGCTTCTGTGTTTTCGTACTGTAATAGCCTTTACTTTTTTCATCACTCATGACTTCCTCTCAAAGGCGTTTTCAGGTATGAAAGAGAAGTTTTGAGTCGCGTTGTACGGTTCAATGATACACGGCTTGTTTGGACCACTTCGACTTCTGATCATCTCCTAGCAGTGGCGTACCCAGGATTTCGGCTCGGGGGGGGGCAAAAAAATTTTTCAAATGAAGGTGCGTGGCGTGAGCCACGCACTCCGAAAATTTTTTAGGGGGGCTACTCAAAATTTTTGAGGGCCCCCAACCCCTAAAATCTGGAAAAAGGGGGCGTGGCGTCAGCCAAGCCCCCGAAAAAAATTTTTTTATAAGGCTAATTTGAATTTTTAAAAAAAATTCAAAAATTATTTTAATTGTTTACAAAAACAAACAAGTCACTTGCACAGTTTTATAACTCATGTAAGTAACTTTCAAAAATTTCGCGACCCGTTCTCCGGGGGGGGGGGCGTTCCCCCCCCCCTCGGTACGCCACAGTCTCCTGTAAGCAAGTTTGTTAAATCGGCTGCCCATTATCGCACCAAATTATGGCCCTCTATGCATCAGAAGTTGACTCTTGTTGAGCCGAGGTGAGTGGTGTTCTTAGTTTTATAATTTGTCTACTCTGAAGAGAGTGACACGGCGCGAACTTAGGCGGGTTCTGGGGCAACCGCTTAAGTTTGGCGAGTGCCGCCTTTTATCTCACAAATTACGTCTAAAGGCAAATCACGATTTGGTGGGGTCTTATCAACCCAAGTTTGCCTAAGGACCGGGCATACCGGGAAGCGAATCCAATCGCGAATCTGCGAAAAGCAAGAGCAAGCGGCCGAATGCATGCACCTCTATCGTACTTTCAATAGTTTAGAGAAGGGGACCTCATGAAGGCTGTTTGAAGATCTGCCACCCAAAAAAGTGAAGATTTTTTTTGAAAACAGAGAAGAAAGAAAGATACAAAACAAATGACAAAAGCGAAAGAAACCTCTAGAAATCTGGCGAAAGATGCAATGAGTTTAATCTTTCATTTGGCAACATCTCGAATGGAGATTTTCGCTTTAGGACCAGGCAATATATAACACGGGAAAAACGAGGGAAAGCTAGTTTCTTTTTTGTTATTGTTTTGAAAACGAACATAATTTATGAAAAGGTAAAATTTTGTCTATTCCCAAATAGAAATGCATGTCAAAGATAATTTAGCTTTTGATGCGTCTTTTGAATCCTTACCTCCTTTTCACAGTTTCTGTTTCTGATGACGTTTAGCTTTATGCTCAATATCCTGAGCAGAATGCCCCAAATCGTGTAAAAAATGATTACTAGCCCTCATAAAGGCCTATGAACAAAAACAGATTTCGCCAGATATATCACCACGGTCAGAGAAATTAGACCTTTGACGTTGTCTGCATTATAAAGAGAAGCGATATCTATCGAATTTACGAAAAAACCGTTTCAAAAGAACTAAATTGGAGAGAGACCGAAATTTCGAAAACATGGTTTTCCGAAAACAATTTCGAAAACTAGATTTCTCGTTCAGATTAAAAAATGGGGTTTTGCGAAGTTGTTAGCGCGAAAGCAAGATCAAGAGCTTTAAAATAGTATACAGTTTGTTAGAATTAGATTGAACAATGAAGAAAAGGGTATGAGAGCGAAATGCCCCGAACCCAGAGTCGACGATGCTTTTGGCTCTGGTCGTAGATCTCCTCGAGGTCTCAACAAAACCCTGCAACATGGCAAATCTTTCTGATCGTCATGACACGACTAGGAGCACTGACAACATCGCAAGATTTAAAAGTCACTTCCTAACAAGATAATCCAGTTTTTCCGTGCGACTCTCTTAAGAGTTAAGCGCAGTTTTGTTTTTATTAAATTAAAAAAACTCTCATGAGTTTCTGCAACTCATTAGTAGTCAAAAAGGAGGTCAGTTGATAGGTTAGATGTCGTTTTGAATTCCATGGAAATTACATAAAAACCTCGTTTTTCGCTAAAAAAAGGCTATGTGAACGCAGCTTTTTCCCGCTGTTGGGTTATTTTTAAGATATTGCTCACTACTTTATATACATTCATATCGCTAGTACTGGGATTTGTTGCCAAGATTATCGTTCTTCACTTTGTTAAGCTGTTTTTTTGTCAGGAGTTTGAAAACCAGTCCAGTGTTGTCAGAGTGTTTCTGTGAAATGCTTTTGTACCTATCAGATCGTCCATCTTTTTTTCATGATTGATGGCCCAACTATCAATTTGATTTGATATAATGATTCTTGTGCCCTTTGTATCAAAGCGCGAGGGAAAGATCATCCAATGAGGCTGTCTAAAATTCGCAGGAAATGAGCTGGATAGTGAGAACGCACAAATTGCTGCAGTGTTATGCCCATGTCCGAGCGAGCGATTCCGTAGCGCGTTTTCGTCGTTGTTTTTTAGCCGGTAGCGGCAATTTCAATGCCTGTAGTATGCCCGACTCTTTAAACAACCCTAAAAGCTGTTTGAACATTAACAGAATTGCAGGTCTCAAAGGTGAGCATCAAAGACTTCAAGAATTTGAGAAAAAATAATTTTGTGTTGTAGTTAACGTTCATAATTTGATGAGCGTTTCATTGCGGGATCATCTAGGATCATTTGTAGGCATAGTTCGCGTGCTTAGACAGTGAACAAAAATCGGAGATTGCTGTGTGTCTCCTCGTCTAACAGTAAACAATTCTCTTTTTGTTTTTTTTACCTTCAGCGTCTCCAATGACGCACAATCCACCAGCACAGAGGGACCTGGGATAAGTGCAGGCTAAGTCGGCTGTGCAAGGTTCGCCTGTTTCCCACAGCGGTTCATTTTCACGAGGGCTGAAAATGTTCAAATGTAATGACGTTGATTGTTTGGCACTACTGTAGGTATGCATAAAAGGCAAGCAAACCCAGATATTCTTTCTTGGACAAGTTTGGGGCAGCAGAAAAGTAAATTCGGATGCAAACTCTTGGGCGGTTCTCAGATCTAGTGAGCTCGGAACGCTGCAGCTACAACGAATTTCTACGAACCAAAAATGCTTGTAAATATGTTAAGGTGTAACAAGGCAATTGCAAAATATTGCGAGTGATATATACAACCTTTGAAAACTTTGGGAATGGTTGCGTAGAGATGGGGGGGGGGGCAGTGAGGGGAGGTGAAGGAAGAAGGGCAGAACGAGGAGAAAAGAATAGAAAACAGGGAAGGAGAGTGTGGAATACAGGTGCCGCGAGCGTTCTATGATGATCGCTTGCTATAAATAAAGTACATTTGCAATCACCAATGAAATATATAGTAATTTACTTGTTTTATTGACGGCAAGGGTTGGCCGTACCTGCGGCAGAGTGCGCGAAGGCTGTACCAGGCTCAATTGCAATTATGCAGGTCAAACTCTCGTAACTCTCGTACTTCTCAGCCGCGCCTCGCATGCTCCCGCATTGTCGCCGGGAGGTGCACTTCGTGAATCACTTGTACAGTATGTCCCAATCGAGATCAAGCGTAAATTTACTCGTTCGCAGCGCTAGAGGTTTGCGCTGCATATTCGCACTCTTGTAAAGAGCGGAGACACCGAAGAGCGATAAGAAAAGCAAGGAGTACAAGTGACGCAAAGTCGATGCGTTGCGGGTGCGCTATGCTTTTGGCTTGATCCGATTTTGGACAGATTTGTAGACAAACTTTCGGTTTCAAAGCAATTGCTATAAAGTGATCAAGAAATACGGTCCACAGGCCCTATCTTATATATGAAGCTGAATGTCTGTTTGTATGTATGTCTGTATGCCTGTATGTATGTCTGTATGTACGTATGTTCAGAATAAAAACTTCCATTTCTGAACCGATCGGGACCAAACTTAGCACACATACACTTCGGGCCGCGGCGGGTGTCATAGGCTACTTTTCGTCATCGATCAATATCGATTTTATCGATTTTTTGCAAAATTTGAGCTACGGGCTGAGAGTTGGCACAGGGGGGTAATCGAGCATGTTCATCACCCCCGTGGAGGTGATCAGCATGCAAAAAATCGATAAAATCGACATCGATCGATAACGAAAAGTGGACTGTGACACCCGCCGGGCCCCGAAGTGTATGTGTGCCAAGTTTGGTCCGGATCGGTTAAGAAATGGAATTTTCTATTCGGAACATACGGCGGAGCCGGGTAAGCCAGCTAGTTTCTGATAAAGAAAATCTCAGTAACTTCTCAGCTGCTTTTTGTCATAGAATGATCTTAAAGGCAGGGACCGGGAAAATCGGATTTTTGATATTTTTGGCCCCCCGAAGTTTTGGCCCCGAAGTAAGGGAGTTTCAACTAAGCATATTAGCTAGGTGCGCCTTCCCCGTAACCCCCTCTAGCCTCCTCCCCCCAATCGACCACTGAGGTCCCAGCCCTCACCCCGCCTCCTGCCCTAGCCAGCCTCCTCGAGGAAGTCTTCCTTTAAGCAAATACACGTCTTACCTGTCAAGATCGTTGACTGGCGTGTCGTTGCAAATGGTCCATTTCGCGGCGTCACCCCGACACATTGTGAACAATTGTTTTGCGCTTATATTTATTAGTTGTGTTTATCCCATTCTTTTGTTTCTCTAATGTTTATGTTGCAGAGAATCTAGAATCACGCAACGATGGACGAGCGGCGAACTTTCGCCTTCGTCCTTCCAGGCGACGCGGGTCCTGCGGCGAAGGACAGCTCGCTCGTCCTCGTTGCCCCCGCGGGGGCTATCCGAAAACGGGGTTTTCATTATTCTCTCATCAATTGAAGCTTGTGTATTGAATCCACGGGCCGGAAAACCCTAGAAAATGCGAAAACCTCGGATGCAGATTTTTCCCGGTCCACTGCCTTCAAAATGTAAGCGATAGGAATAGCTCCCACTTTATTATTATTTTATTCGTTTCGTTATTTTTTCGATTATATCGTCCAAGATCGAAACCTTCCAGGAAAAATCTGAAATCGATAAGTATTAGGAACATCTAAAAGTCGCATCAAGTCATTTTTTCCTACTTTTAGATAGATTACAAAGTGGCATTCGATGCGCAGTAAGCTTTGCAAGAAAATTTCAAAAAATTCCACGAACACGCAAAGTTTGAAGGCAAGCCAAAAAAGCAGAAACCGAGAGAATCAAAACTCAATGGAAATTTTCACATGTACAAGCATACTGAACATCAAACATTCATTTACACAGTCTCCGTATTTTCCCTTAGCTGAAGATAAAGAAGGCGAAAGTTTAAGATTTCATTAAGGCAATGTTGAGCGGGAAATGGTTAGAAGTTAACGCAAGCATTCCGAACAAGCTGTATATGGTGAACTCGCCTTAAAATGCTGACCTCAAATATATGCTTATCATCTGGCAAGCAACCATCTGAAAGGAGTTATGAGCGTTCAAGTATGAGAACTTGTTCAACTTCCAGCTAATAAAATTTTTTTGTACCTCCCACAATGGTCGGCCGCCCCAACGTGCGTGGGGATGACATTTGATGTCGAACTGCGATTCACAGCCATATATGCTGGTAGGGCCTCCCAAGCTGTGAAGGAGTTCGACATTTTCGGTTTCGGACAGATGCCTAGCTAAGAGCCGGCCAGGCCAGATCCGCCGCCGCCTGGTTTTCTCGCTAGACGGTCCTCCCCGTTCCCTACCCTGGTCAGCGATCGCCCCGTGAAAATCAGGAGTAGGCGGTGGCGTGCCGAGGGGGGGGGGGGAACGGAGAGGGGAGGGGCGCCACCCCTTCCCCTTCGAGAACCGGTCGCGAAATTTTTGAATGTTACTTATGTGGGCTATAAAATTGTGCAATTGACTTGTCTGCACTTGTAAATTTTTAAAAATTCATTTTAGCCTCACAAAAATTTTTTTCGGGGCGTGGCTAAACCTGCTGAGCCCGCGAAAATTTCACGAAGCATATCAAAAATTTTTCGGAGTGCGTGGTTGACGCCAGGCTTCCCCTTTCTGAAATTTCGGGATTTTGAGCCTGCGAAAATTTTACGAAGCATAGCAAAAAATTTTCGGAGTGCGTGGCTGACGCCACGCACCTTCACCGGAAAATTTTTTTGTCGCTCCCCCCCCCCACCCGAGCCGAAATCCTGGTTACGCTACTGGGAGTAGGCCTAATAATTCGCTCGTGTAGGGGAAAATTTATCAAAAATTTCACGAAGCATATCAAAAAATTTTCGGAGTGCGTGGTGGTCGTCCGCAACGAGAAGTCCCTCTACAAGAATGTCGTGGGCAACTTCAATGCGAAAGTCCGGATGCTACTAGAAAAGGAATATAAGACAGGGAAGTTTGAATATGGGCTCCGGAACGAAAACGGCAACCGTCTGGTTGAGCTTCTCTCCGCCGCACGACTTTTCCATTGAAATTCCATCTTCATGAAGAAAGAACATCGCCGGTAGACATAAGAATCGCCCAACGGAACGACTCACGCGGAAATCGATCACATTCTTACCAACTGAAGGTGGAGCTTGCTCGATGTCTCAGTAGCAGAGGTGCGATAGGGGGAGCCAAGTCTCCCCCTACCTTCACTTTTGAGCTGGTACGGGGTGACCACCTTCACTTTTGGAATAAAAAATTTTTCGCTGGACGACAAAGAAGGAAAATAAGCAAAACAAACGCAAGAAAAGATTATTGAAAGCATATATTTATGTATACGGCGGCATATATATTTAAAATAAAGGTTTTTAGTAAATGGTGTATTTGGAAGTAAAGCTTAGCAAAACTGTACGGATTTTATTAAGCAAATTATGTTATAACGTATAGCGAAGGAAGTAGGTCGATCCAGGCAGTAACGGCGGAGAACCAGAATTTTGAATATTTAAATAGTGAAAAATCATGCGAAATTTCCACTGTTATAAATCTGTTGTTTGAAGATGTCAGCAGTTGCGACTTCATAGGTTTTAAAGAGTAAATGTTGCTCTATCAGCTAGTGAAGGAATCTGGTCGATTTAAGAGATAGTCGTTGAAAACCAGAGTTCTAAAACTTTACGCCATTTTTGCGTGTTTTTTGACTGTTGAGAGTTAAACTCTTATAAATCTTGAATGTGGAAGTGTATGATGTTGCGACTTCATAGGTTTTATAGAGTAAGGTTTGCCTTATCAGAATATGTCTTGTCCGTTCCGATCCATTGAAACACCTCCGAGATCCAGAGTCATGAAAAAGCAGGTAAAAAAGAGCTTTTTGAACTTTAACAGTTCATAACTTCTTGAGGGTTGCACGAATCATGTTGCGACTTCATAGGTTAGATTCTTCTCGTCAAGAGCTTTCAGACGATATATAATATGTGGGGGTTTCGCGCCTCTTACGGCATATGCCCGGGGGGGGGGGGGAGACTTTTTAGGCCAAAGTCTCCCCCGGCAGCCTCCAGCCAATACATTAAAATGGGCGAGGGGGAGACTTTGGCCTAAAAAGTCTCCCCCCCCCCGGGCATATGCCGTAAGAGGCGCGATACCCCCACATATTATATATCATCTGAAAGCTCTTGACGAGAAGAATCTAACCTATGAAGTCGCAACATGATTCGTGCAACCTTCAAGAAGTTATGAACTGTTAAAGTTCAAAAAGCTCTTTTTTACCTGCTTTTTCATGACTCTGGATCTCGGAGGTGTTTCAATGGATCGGAACGGACAAGACATATTCTGATAAGGCAAACCTTACTCTATAAAACCTATGAAGTCGCAACATCATACACTTCCACATTCAAGATTTATAAGAGTTTAACTCTCAACAGTCAAAAAACACGCAAAAATGGCGTAAAGTTTTAGAACTCTGGTTTTCAACGACTATCTCTTAAATCGACCAGATTCCTTCACTAGCTGATAGAGCAACATTTACTCTTTAAAACCTATGAAGTCGCAACTGCTGACATCTTCAAACAACAGATTTATAACAGTGGAAATTTTGCATGATTTTTCACTATTTATTTATTCGAAATTCTGATTCTCGGCCGTTACTGCCTGGATCGATCTACTTTCTTCGCTGTACGTTATAACAAAATTTGCTTAATAAAATCCGTACAGTCCAACAAACTTCTACTTCCAAATACACCATTTACTAAACACGTCTATTTTAAATTTTTATAAATAAAATTTATAGATATTTTTAATATTCATCGTATCTGTGGCCCTAAAGAGGGCCGTTGGGTCGACGTTAGACCTAGAAAGATAGCTCCGTTCGTCCGTTCTATCCTCCCCCCGCACCTTCCCCCCCCCCCCCCCCGTCGACGTTTTTGGGAGGTGAGTGTCCGACACTACCACCTTCACTTTTGGCCGGCCAGTGGTAGCTGAAACCACCTTCACTTTTGGGGGACCCGGCTCCCCCTATCGCACCTCTGGTGGTAGAGCGCTCCCTTAGCATGGGAGAGGGCTGGGGTTCAATTCCCCATACCTCCATAACGTTTTGCAGCAGGACCAATAACCCAACTTTGTTCGCCCCTACCTTTGATTTGTTTCGCAATTTAGCCAGAATTCCGATGCCTTAGCTAACAAAGCTTTCAACGATGAACGGATCGGAGAAGAATAGAAAGGAAGGGAAAAGAGAAGACTGATCACGTGCGGGTATAGCTCAGTGGTAGAGCGCTCCCTTAGCATGGGAGAGGGCTGGGGTTTAATTCCCCATACCTCCATAACGTTTTGCAGCAGGACCAATAACCCAACTTTGTTGGCCCCTACCTTTGATTTGTTTCGCAATTTAGCCAGAATTCCGATGCCTTAGCTAACAAAGCTTTCAACGATGAACGGATCGGAGAAGAATAGAAAGGAAGGGAAAAGAGAAGACTGTTCACGTGCGGGTATAGCTCAGTGGTAGAGCGCTCCCTTAGCATGGGAGAGGGCTGGGGTTCAATTCCCCATACCTCCATAACGTTTTGCAGCAGGACCAATAACCCAACTTTGTTCGCCCCTACCTTTGATTTGTTTCGCAATTTAGCCAGAATTCCGATGCCTTAGCTAACAAAGCTTTCAACGATGAACGGATCGGAGAAGAATAGAAAGGAAGGGAAAAGAGAAGACTGATCACGTGCGGGTATAGCTCAGTGGTAGAGCGCTCCCTTAGCATGGGAGAGGGCTGGGGTTCAATTCCCCATACCTCCATAACGTTTTGCAGCAGGACCAATAACCCAACTTTGTTGGCCCCTACCTTTGATTTGTTTCGCAATTTAGCCAGAATTCCGATGCCTTAGCTAACAAAGCTTTCAACGATGAACGGATCGGAGAAGAATAGAAAGGAAGGGAAAAGAGAAGACTGATCACGTGCGGGTAGAGCTCAGTGGTAGAGCGCTCCCTTAGCATGGGAGAGGGCTGGGGTTCAATTCCCCATACCTCCATAACGTTTTGCAGCAGGACCAATAACCCAACTTTGTTGGCCCCTACCTTTGATTTGTTTCGCAATTTAGCCAGAATTCCGATGCCTTAGCTGACAAAGCTTTCAACGATGAACGGATCGGAGAAGAATAGAAAGGAAGGGAAAAGAGAAGACTGATCACGTGCGGGTATAGCTCAGTGGTAGAGCGCTCCCTTAGCATGGGAGAGGGCTGGGGTTT